TCCTTCCTTCCATATTTCCTTCCTTCCTTCCTTCCTTCCTTCCTTTTCTCCTTTCATCCATCCATCTATCCACTCATCTATCCATCCCTCCATTGTCTCTAAATTTTCATCCCCACAAATGATTTACCAGATAGCCCAGCACACCCCTTGGTATACGGATGGGAATGTAGGATACACGAGGTTGAAACCCATTTCTGGAACTCATATCATCACCTAAGAATTCGTTGCACTACTTTTTAAGGAGTATGTTTTCATTGATTTTAAAGAAAGACAGGGAGAGGGGAAGAGAGAGAGAAACATCAATGAGAGAGAAACATCAATTGGCTGCCTCCTGCATGCCCCCTACTGAGGATCGAGCACAAAACTGGGACATGTGCCTTGAAGGGGAATCGAACCAGGGACCCTTTGGTGCATGGGGCAACGCTCAACCAAATGAGCCACACTGGCCAGGGTGGTTGTACTACTTTTGACATTAAGAGTCCTCCACAATAAATTTGTACTTTTGTAGTTATTACTAACATTTTTATTAGCATGTATAATATTCTAGGAAAATATATGGCTTCGTGTCAAAGGACTCCATTCTTGCTTTAGGATCACCACTCAATGGTAAGTTATTATATTCATGGGCTTTAACTTCCTCATCTTTATTATTTTTTTTAAATTTCTTTATTGGTTAAGGTATTACAAATGTATCCTCATCTTTAAAAAGAGAAAATAATTATTTCATTCACTTGTGAGAAATAAATGAGATATAGAAGTCCCTCCATGATTTCAGTTACCAGCAGTTAATACCAGTTGGAAAATATTAAACTGAAAATTCTCGAAATCAAATTCATTGCTTTCGAATGGGGTGCCTTTCTGCATAGCGTGATAAAAGCTCACACCAACCCACGCCACCCCACCGGGTGTGAATCATCCCTTTGTCCAGTGGCTCCCTGCCCATTAGTCACTTAGTAGCTACCTTGGTTATCAGCTCAACTGCTGGGGTATCGCAGTGCTTGTGTTCACATAACCCTTATTTTACTAAATGGCCTCAAGCACAACAGGGGTGATGCTGGCAATCCGGATATGCCATAAAGTGCTTCCTTTACGTGATAAGGTAAATACAGTACAAGACATTGTGTGTGTGAGAGACAAAACATGAAGGTAACTTCTACTACAGTCTATGCTTTAATTTTTCTGTTTTATTATAGTTATTGCTGCTCATCACTTACTGTGCCTACTTTATAAATTAAACTGTCATAGGTGTGTATATATGGGAAAAGGCACAGTTTCTAGGGTTCAGTGCTACCCTTGGTTTCATTCCCACCAGGACACAGGGACCATTGGAATATGTTTGAAGGGAGGATACATTGATAGTAAATTAGAAAAGAGGTGAAGGCTCTCTGTCTGTGAGTCTCCCTCTATCTTGCTTGTTAGTTGGCTTTGTTCATTAGATTCCACATACGAGGGAAATCCTGTGGCGCTTGTCTTTTCTCTGACTGGCTCCTTTCAGAGAGCAGGCTGACAGCTGGGGGAGGGAGTGGGGAGAAGGCATTGAGCAAAAAAGGAAAAAAAAAAGAGAAAAAAAACTCATGGACACAGACAACAGGGTGGTACTTGTAGGGGTTGGGGGCAGAGGAGGCGGGGTAGCAGAGGAGGGTGTAGGGGGACAAATGGCAATGGTGGAGACCTGACTGGGGTGGCGAACACACGTTGCAGTGTGCAGACGACGTGCTGTAGAATCATGCAACTGAAACCTATATAGTTTTGTTAATCAGTGTCACCCCAATCAATCCAATTATAAATATAACTAAATAAGATAAAAATTAAAGAAATGAAGGAACTACATGTTCACTTTAGTGCTCCAATAAAAATCTAAATTGGAAAACATTTTAGATTATATACACATACACCCATTTCTCTTTGAAATTTATCTCTCAGCCAAAAAGACGATAAGTGTGTGTGTTAATGGAATGAAAGAATTATGACCTTTTATTGTTCAGAATAGTACATAGGACAATAGATTTTCAGGAAATCTCTCTATCACAGTGGTTCTCAACCTGTGGGTCGCGACCCCTTTGGGGGTCTAATGACCCTTTCACAGGGGTCGCCTAAGACCATCAGAACACACATATATAATTACATATTGTTTTTGTGATTAATCACTATGATGTTCAATTTGTAACAATGAAATTGGGGGTCACCACAACATGAGGAACTGTATTAAAGGGTCGCAGCATTAGGAAGGTTGAGAACCACTGCTCTATCAGATACCAGAGAATTAAATAAAAACACTCAAATCCATTGAAAAGTATTGGGAAAAGACTGACTCCAGATACTCTTAGCCCAAAATAGCCTATCTTTTATACTTTGTACAACTTGTTCATTTTCTTTGATCTTCAACTGAATTCAGCCATTGTAGATTCTTGGTAGGTGCAGAGTCTAAATATTCCACTAAGAAAATGTTTCTTTTCTCCTGACACACTGACAACTATTGTAAAGCATAAACTAATGGCAGTAGTGATCTAGCAATAAACTTAAAATGCTACAGGCATTAGGAAAAGAACATTTACATTTCTCGTTTCGTATTCAAACTTGCAGTCCTCCCTCCCTCCATCTATTACACTCAAGGACTGTTTAAATTCATGACATATTTAGCTGGCTGACCAACGCATGAAAAACACAAATCTCTTTGTTGATAAAAGTTTTACCAAAACCTTTTGTGGAACCTGAAAACTGAACACCATTCCTTTAATAAGAAAATTGTACATTTTCCTTTAGTGGCATGCATCCTCCAGAATTTTGTGAACTCCTCCCCCCACCCCCCCACCCCCACTCTTTTCGGAATCTGTAGAATTATCACTCTCCATTTCAGGAACATTCTTCTTGATTCATTATACACTGTATATGAGCTCACTTCTTATGGCTACCCTTGGTTATGAAAATAAGACACATTTATAGGAATCACACACTGAAAGTGGAAGAAATCCACCAAATTCTGTGGGCCTTTAATGATTTGTTCAATTGTATTTTCCCTTCAGTTAACATTTGGGGAAAGTCTGAATTGAGATTCTCATGTTCTATCTCTCTTACTAGTATGTAGTTCATTGAAAGAACACCATCACATAGTTCATTGTGGCTGGAAACCAACTGGGTGTTGTCACAAGCATATTAAATATGCAGGAATATGTTTCTAACACTATGGAACGGTCTACAACAGTGGTTCTCAACCTTCTGGCCCTTTAAATACAGTTCCTCATGTTATGACCCAACCATAAATTATTTTTGTTGCTACTTCATAACTGTAATGTTGCTACTGTTATGAATCGTAATGCAAATATCTGATATGCAGGATGGTCTTAGGTGACTCCTGTGAAAGGGTCGTTCAAACGCCAAAGGGGTCGCGACCCACAGGTTGAGAACCGCTAGTCTACAAGATTAGGGTTGGTCATAGCAGTGCTCACCCACCAGGAGGTAGTGTGCTTTACAAGTATCAATTTTATTGTGCTTTTTTTTAGAAAGAAGGAAATAATATCCAAGAAGCTTTTAGTTTATCTATAAACCAAAGTATAGTTCATTGTGAATTCTCTTATCTCTCTCACAGGAAGATTGAATTCAATCTAAAATATGTAAATTTCATCAATAATCTAAATATTACCTACTATAACAAACATTTAGACGTGAACTTGATGTTTAATGTTCTTATTTGTTCTATATCCTTACTAATTGCTTTTACAATCTTAAAAAAGTTTTCCCCAATCCTACCTATATAGTTTTGTTAATGCAAATATTTCCTGGTTGAACCTTATGTGAGAATTCATGTGTATTTACAATAATTCCGTAACACTCAAAGGTGAATATAAGACATTAGTATGATATTTGAAGTTCTGTATGATCATGTAAACATTTTGAGAGAAATGAAGGTTTGTAATTTATAATTTACATGGCAGGAAGCATTTGTTAGATGATGACTATAATAATGACATTAATAGTTCTATCACTAATAATTACCGATAATCTAGTTTTGATGACAACAGTGCTGCAATCTCTCTCTTTTTATTTGCATTTATTTTTTTTAACATGCAGCAAAGGCCATCTTTCTCCTGTTTATGAAATCGCTTGTGGCTATCTGTGCTCTTTCGGATTTCTGGGAGATTCATTTATAATTGCATATGGCACCCATGGTGCATTGACACATATGAACAAGTTCCATGATTTCCCAAACTAACGCAATCGTTCTGAAGTCACAGTACGAAGGAGTTCATTCAAAAACTTCACCAGATTGCCAGGATAATGAGAGCGAAGACCATTCAAACAGAGTGCAATATGCTCCAAGGCTGACAGCCCCAATCAAACGGGAACAATACGTGAAATTAAGCCAGTCAGAGGAAGACAAATAGCACATGATTTCACTCCTGTGTGGCGTGTAATAAACAAACTGAACCACCAAGCAAAATAGAGGCAAACTCATAGAGGGGAGGTAGCTAGCTCCTGGGGCAAGGGGTGAGGGTAGAGGGACTGAGCAAAAAAATAAAAGAGAGAGAGAGAACTCATGGGCATGGACAACAGTATGGGAATTGCCAGGGTGGGGGTGGGGGTGGAAGAGGGCATAGAGGGGACAAGTGGTGATGGAAAAACTAAAATAAAATAAAACATTTTTTAAAAGGAACAAAAGTCCAGGCCCACACTTCCGCTGGCTGTTGACTATTACCCCTAGTAGCTGACTGATAAAATGCATGCCGGGAGAGACACAGACACATGATTTTCCTTTGGCACACCAGAGGAACACCCTGGAACCTTCTCCCTCTATGGCATGTCTAACCATGGCACAGGCATTTCTAAAAAAAAAAAATGGTGCCTTCCTGAAACCAGTTGGCTCCCTCCCCGTGCCTGTGCTTGGTGCCAGCTTGCCTTTTAGCCTGCACAGCCATAAACTGCCAAGAGATGGGTTGTAAAGGGAGAACCTAGCTTGGTAGTCTCAATAATGAGTTAGAAGATGCCAACAGCAGACTTCTTACCTTGAACTGACAGACGCAAGTCACAGTGTCTCCAATCCTTAAGCACTCCCCGTCAAATTTACAGGTGTTGGTGTCACAGAGGAAGAGGTCATTTTCTCTGTCGTCGTAGCCTCAAATGTGAAGAGGACACTCCAGTTATTAAAACTGTCGTAGACTTTAACAAAAACAGTGGTCTCTTGAAGCTTTAACTACCCTAAATGTTAATTCGGACAACCACAGCTGTATTGCAAGGTCATTCTATTGATAACCTAAAAAAAAATCTAATTAAGTAATCAATATTTGTTTCTTTTTTTCACATTGCCTTTCTCTTTTAATATCTTTTTTTTTTTTTAGTAGTGCTCTTTTATTTTCTTTTATTTTAGCTTGGGTTGAAACTGACAATGCTGAATGGATACTCAACACTGGCTTCCTGGCTTCCAGACTGTTTTCTCATTAAGTGAACTATAGTTTATGACCCCCACAGGCCACATTTTTAAAGAGAACTAGTGATGGTCTCTGAATGACATTTCACCAGTTCTCCATCTTTAATCATCCTTTTGCTTTACGGTCTGAAACAACCCCTTATTTGGAGTTTCTCCAGACAAAGAGGAAACAAAGCCCCAAATAATAAAGATAAACAGGCGCAGTGTTTGCTGTGATGGTCTGTCTGGCTCGAATGAAGATTGATCCCCTGTAAGTTAACAGGGGTAGGGGTGGGGTGCCCGGGTCTTGACAATCTGCCTGGAAAGCCAGCCCATTCTCTCTAGCTCCTGCAGATCCCTTTAAGATATCCGGCTAATAATGAATTTCTTCATCGCCAACCTCAATCTCTAAAACAATACTCCAGTGAGGGATGAAGCAAACCGGTCATGTTGGACTACAAAGCTATCAACATCTCAAACAATTGATTTTGCAGGTTGTTTGATATTCCTATGATAAAGCTCCTGGCAGCTAAGTGGGAATTCGTCTTTCGGAAATGACATACATGCACATGTGAACCACGCAGGAGTAAGTTACAGAAAACATGTTGAGTTTTAGAAAAATGCCCAATTTAGAAATTGTTAACAACAGAACAAAGCCATCTATTGACCCAAACCAAATAGGGTGGCAAGTCTTAACTGGTATTTACAGAGCCCAAACGACAGGGATGCACAGTGATTTTTCTCGCGTCATTTATATCACCAAGAACCCAGGGCTCTATTCTTTCGCCCTGTAAGTTACAGTTGGTCATGCCGTCCTCCCCAAAGTTCCCTGCGCGTCAGCTCACATACATGCTCCCAACGCCGCTCCATTCACAGCCAGACTCAACTGCAGAAGGACCACAGGGACAGAAGCTGGAAAATGGCATGCCCGCCTGCGAAAGCTAGCACAGCCCAGACCTGCGGGACAACACCGGCTCCTGATGGAGCTGAAAATGCCAAGGGACTCGCACCACCCTCCCGGGCGCGCTAAGGGCTGCCACTCTCACTCGGAAAGGCTAAGGCAGCTGGAGAGGAGAGCGGCAACTTCCACCCGGGCGGGCGGCTCCACAGGAGGCTTCAGCCCAGCAAAGCCAGTGAAGCCCGGCTCTCAGACCCCGAAGGACCCCGGGAGAAGGAAGAGCGCCTGATCGCTCAGGAGGTCCGCTCAGCACTGGAGGGGTCGGCCCTGCCCACCGGGTCGGTCCCGCTCCCTCGTTCCCTGCACTGGGGCGCGGAGCTGGTGGCTCGGTCCTGCCCACGCCCGGCCTGGGAGCCCTGCGTGTGAATGATTCTTTCCTCAACTTCCCTGCGCCATCCGGGAGCTTGGGGGGCAGGAGAGGCGTCTGTGGGCTGCCCAAGCAAGGTCTTTTGCAGCCAAGGAGAGAGAGGGAGGGAGAGGGGTTAAGGAGGGAAGGAGGGAAGGGGAGAGGGAGGGAAGGAGAGAGGAAGAGAGGGAGGGAGGGAAGGAGAGAGGGAAGCAGAGAGGGAAGGAGAGCGGGAGGGAGGGAAGGAGGGAGAGAGAGAAGCATTAAGTGAGAGAGAAATCTTGATTGGTTGACTCCCACACTCATCCAGACCAGGGGTCACACCTGCAACCTGGGTATGTGCCCTGACCGGGAATCGAACCCACCAGCCCATGGATGGAGGGAAGGACGGAGGAAGGGAGGGAGGGAAGGAGGAAGGGAGGGAGGGAGGGGAGAAATTGAATGTCTGGAGACCCAAGCTCCTTAGAATCTGCGAGACCTGGTCTGGAACAGAGAACGGTGCCCTCGCTGCACTTTCGCCAGGAATCAGCGTGTCCCTGCGGTCACCATTTGATGGATTGCTCTCTCGTTGGTTCTCTCTCATAAAGTTATTTCTAGCTCATTCTAGCTGGACTTTTTCTTTCTTTAAGGATATTAAAGATTCGGTGTTAGTGTTTCCCCAAGGACGGATGCTCTTCTCAGCGAGTCCACAGGACCATCCTGTTTAGTCGCCCTCCAAAGCCGCGCCGTCCGCATTCAAGTGCAAGGATGCGGAGGTCCCCACAC